TAATACTCAGGAGGCTGAGATCTGAGGATTGCAGTTCAAAGCCAGCTTAGGCAGGAAAGTCTGTGAGACTCTTATCTCCAATAAACCACCAGAAAATGAAGTGGCGCTGTGGCTCAAATGGTAGAGTGCTTGCCTTGAGCTGAAGAACTAAGGGACATCACCTAGGCCCAGAGTTCAAGCCCCATGACTGATCAAAAAAAACAACAACAAAACTTTAAGATACTTTTCTACCTCAACTGGCTTTAAATTACAGGCATAAGCCTGGCTATTTCTTTTTTTTTTTTTTTGGGGTCCAGTTGTGGGGCCTGAACTCTGGGCCTGGGCGCTGTCCCTCAGCTCTTCAGCTCAAGGCTAGCGCTCTACCACTTGAGCCACAGCGCCACTTCTGGCTTTTTTTCTTTTTGCTTATGTGGTGCTGAGGAATCGAACCCAGGGCCTCAGGCATGCAAGGCAAGCGCTCTACCACTGAGCCACCTTCCCAGCCGGAACCTGGCTATTTCTATAGTGTGTGTGTGTGTGTGCGTGCACGTGTGTGTGTGCACGTGTGCATGTGTGCATGCACACTGGTACTGGGGCTTGAACTCAGGGCCAGGGCACTGTTCCTTTAGTGCTCTACCACTTGACTTACATCTCTACTTCCAGTTTTTTGATGGTTAATTGGAGACAAGTCTCATAGACTTTCCTGCCCAAGCTGGTATTGAACCATGATCCTCAGACCTCAGATTTCTTGAGTAACTAGGATTATAGGCATAACCACCAATGCTGAGCATTTCTGTAGTAGTAGTAGTAGTAGTAGTATTGCCAGTCCTGGGGCTTGAACTCTGGCTTAGGCACTGTCCCTGAGGGTTTTTTGTTTTTGTTTTTGCTCAAGGCTAGTGCTCTACCACCTTGAGCCACAGGGTGACTTCTGTTTTTTTGTAGTTAATTGGAGATAAAAGTCTAATGGACTATCCTGCCCAGGCTGGCTTTGAACCATGATCCTCAGGTCTCAGCCTCCTGAGTAGCTAGGATTATAGGAGTGAGCCACCAGCATCAGGCTATTTTCTGGTTATTGTTTTGTTTTGTCGGTTGTGGGGCCTGAACTCTGTCCCTGGGCTCTGTCCCTCAGCTCTTCAGCTCAAGGCTAGTGCTCTACCACTTGAGTCATGGTGCCACTTCAAGCTTTTTCTGCTTATGTGGTGCTGAGGAATTGAACCCAGGGCCTTGTGCATGCAAGGCAAGCACTCTAACACTGAGCCACCTTCCCAGGCCTCAGGCTGTTTTCTGTACTTTTTTTTTTTTTTTTTGCCAGTCCTGGGGCTTGAACTCAGGGCCTGGACACTGTCCCTGAGCTGCTCTGTATGTGTGTGTGTCTGTGTGTGTGTGTGTCTGTGTGTATGTGTCTGTATGTTTTGCCAGTCCTGGGGCTTGAACTCAAGGCCTGGGTACTGTCCCTGAACTTCTTTTGCTCAAGGGTAGCACTCTATCACTTGAGCCACAGCACCACTTCTGGCTTTTTCTGTGTATGTGGGACTGAGGAATCAAACCCAAGGCATCATGCATGCTAGGCAAGCACTCTACCATTAAGCCACATTCCTAGCTCTATTTTTTTTTCTATTTTCTGTATTTTTATACTCCACAATCAGCACCTTCGTCAGGATTCCTAAATCCAAACTGCATGGAAAATGTTTTTGTTTTGTTTTGTTTTGTTTTGCTGGTTGTGAGGCCTGAACTCTAGGCCTGGGTGCTGTCCCTCAGCTCTTCAGCTCAAGGCTAGCAGCACTGTACCACTTGAGCCACAGTGCCACTTATGGCTTTTTCTGCTTATGTGGTGTTAAGGACCTCATGTATGCAAGGCAAGCACTCTACCATTGTGCCACTTTCCCAGACCAGAAAATGTTTTCTTAAATATGGCTGAAAATTCATGTGGTGGCAAAAGTCAGACCAGACCATGTGCAATTTAGTTAGCTCTTTTAGTATATGTGTATGTTTTGTTAAAGGGTGTGATTATAAGAGGCTGCTTCTGTTCCATGCTATGTACCATGTAGTATATGTATCATAGGCATTTCTAAAACCAGAGACATCTTCCTATCTTGCCCCAGGGATTGTTGGTAAGGGGCTGTCACTTTGATGTGCTACTATGCACTGTAGTCAAACTTGACACGCTTTTGCATAACCAGGGAGCAAGTGGCTTGGTTATATTCATATTCTTGGTATCTGGAATTCCATAGGAGGCATTCTAATCTATATAACGGATGCCCTTGTATATGGATGGATCCTTTTAGATTTTGCCTCTGGGAGAAAGCAACTTGAAGCAAGTGTAGAGGGGGACCAAATGCTAACAGGATGGAAATGGAACAAGACAGTGGTCCCAGACAACCACTTGTCCTAGGTAGGGCAGATAGTGGACATTCACCCTGTAGACCTCATAGGCTGCCCTGGGACCATTTAAACGCCTGGGAGGACCAGGCCAAGATGAAGTCCGAGAAGGCAGTCCACTCAGTAGTGTATGGAGGACAGCCATCTAGTGGCCTTCAGATTATATAAGCCTTATCCTTGGCAGGGTCAGGCTTCCCAGCATCTTGGTTCTATGAGCCATCTTGGACCTGCAGGTGCCAAGGTGGCAAAAGCTTTCTAACAGCGCTGGCCACTGTGCAGGCAGAGAGGCCCGGGAGTCCAATGCAGTGACAGTTCCATTTTTAGGAAGAAATGCCAAACCAGGGATACCGGCATTTGGGTCAAGTTAAGGATGTGCGTGGACTGGCCAGTCTTTCTGTGCTGGGCCCCGAGCAAGCATCCCTGTGGCCGCTTGGCTGCTTAGGGGGCCTCCCCGGAGCGCCCCCTGCCGGACGTGGCTGGCCTTGCTCGGCCGCCGACTCCAGTGGCTGTGGGGCGCTTGGCGCTCGCTGCGCCACCTGGCGGCGGCGGCGGGAACCGCACGGATGGCGCCGCCCTCCCTCTCCCGAACCCCCTTCCTCCCCCCCGCCCCAGCCCGGGGAACCCCAGCTTAGACTGCCCGGCAGCAAAGGGTTAAGCTGTCAGCAGCGCGATGTTAAACAGGTGTCAAAGGCGCCCCATATATCTGCAGATTGAAATCAAATTCTTTGCCGTATAAAAAGATAAATTACCCAGGCGCTGCCGCGCGTCCCACTCATCACGCCAGCGCCAGACGGCGAGCAATTTTTTTTTTTTTAATGTGCTAACGACCTAATCAAGCAATCAAGTCGGAGAAGATTGCAGTGACCGGGGCAGCCATCTGCCAGCGAGCCCCGCATTCATTTCCGCGCCCCCGGTGCGGGGGCCGGGGTGGGGGAGGGGGGAGGGGGTTGCGGGGGGAGGGGAGGAAAAATCCTAAACAAATTAACACCCAATTTTCCCCTTCTAATTAGTTAAATGAGAAGTGTTTGGGGTCCCCCGGGGAGGGGGAGGCGGCTCGCGGCGGGGCGAGCGCGGCCGCCCCAGCATTAATTAGTGCGGGTCAATGCCGCGGCTCCCGGGAGAGCGGCCGCTTTAATTTCCCGTGATATTTCAGTGCCTGAGGCCCATCGATTCAAACTGAAATTAACTTATTTTTCAATCAGCCCAGGGCTGCCCCTGGGGGTGACTCTTCTTTTGCCGCCTCCTGAATAGAGCTGGAGCAATTTTTCATCAAAAGCTGATACCTCGGCTGAGCTGCGCCGGGCTGGGGAGGGGCCTGGAGGGAGGGGGGGGGGCCCTGGAGAGAAAGGGGGGCCCTGAGGGAAAGGGGGGCCGCTGGGATGGAAAATCACCCAGGAAAGGGATGGCTTTTCCCCAGCCCCGCCTCTTTCTGATCCCCCAACCTCACCCAATCCCCCAGGAGGCTTTGTCCTCTGGTCTCCTTGGACCTGAAGAGACAAGGACCTGGGGTTCCTTCCCTTCTGAGAGACCAGGAAATTCCCTGTCTGTCAGATGCTGAAGTCTCAGGAAAACTGCTTCTGGAGATCAGGAAATCTTCCCTACTCAAACCAATCTTGAGCTCTCTTCCCAGAAACACAGACCCGCCCCCTCCCTGCGACCCGAGGCTCCTTCTGACCCTGTACTCATCTGCTCAGCACCCTCCCCTTTCCCCCTCCCCCCTTCCCTCTCCCCTCCCCCCAAATATTCCCCAGGGTATTGCCTTTCTCTCCCACCCCACCCCCACCCCTCCAAGGTCCACGTTCTCCTTTGCACCTAATGTCTGGAGAAGTTCGACTTCCTTCCGTGACTGCCAGAACCTGGAGGCAAAGCAGCAGGGCAGGGCGCAGCTGGAACAGGAGGGGATGAGAAAGGAGGCTGATTCTGGCCTCCAGGAAAAGGTTCTCCTCCCTACTCCCTGGCCCCAAGAATGTCCACTGCCAGGAGCTTCCCCATTCCAAGCTTCCCTGAACGCCTCTGAAAAGGAGCCTGAGCTAGACGCACTGCCAGTCAGGGACTCCGGCATTTGTCTTTTTAAAAATCTGTATCACCTTCAGTTTACACTCTGGAGGTGTGGGTATCTGCAAGCTGTCAGGCTCAGGTTTCCCAGCTGTAAGCTTAGAACCACTCCTGTCCCAGCCGCTCCCTTCCCCCAGCCCACCTCCCTAGATCTGCTTTGATTATAAACAAAAAAGAGACCCATTTTGCTCACTGTGTTCTTTTTGTTTTGGTTTGGTTTTGTGCCAGCGCTAGCATTCTACCACTTGAGCTACATCTCCACCTCTGGCTTTTTGCCGGTTAACTGGAGTCCCACAGACTTTCCTGCTGAGGCTGACTTTGAACTGGGATCCACAGATCTCAGCCTCCTGAGTAGGGAGGATTACAGGCATAGGATACCAGCACCCAGCTTGCTCACTGTATTCTTACAGGACTTGATATCCTCTTAGACACTCCCTGAACTTGAGGAGCGTTGGGGACACCAGGGATGGGGAAGCTAGGCTTAGGACATCTTAGACCACTAGGAAAGGATCTCCATCCCAGAGCTTCTCAGAGCCCAGCCCTGCCCCTTGACCCCCGACCCCTGACCCACTCCTCTGCACTGGCAGGTCTGGTTCCAGAACCGCAGAGCCAAGTGGAGGAAGAGAGAGAAATGCTGGGGCCGGAGCAGTGTCATGGCAGAATACGGGCTGTACGGGGCCATGGTGCGGCACTCCATCCCTCTGCCTGAGTCCATCCTCAAGTCAGCCAAGGATGGCATCATGGACTCCTGTGCCCCGTGGCTACTGGGTAAGAGCCGGCACCCTCCTTGGGGGCCTGCCCCTGCAGTGAGGGGAGTGGGATCCCTGCGGGTGGGGACAGACCTGGAGTCTGGGCTAGGAGACCTGGCCGCAGCAGCCTAGGACTCTCCACGCGGGCCTCCCTTCTCCCCTGAGGACGTAGGCAGGGAGGGCTCGGCCTGGTGTCTGTCCCTCACACCTCCTTCCTGTGTACCAAGAACTCATCCTGGACAGGACTCTGAATCCTGTGAGGCCGGGTGGCTGTGGCTCTAGAATCCTCGCCTCCATTCTCCTTGGCCCTTGGGGGTTTATGGTGAATGAAACAGCCCACCTTCAATGTTAAGGGGACCTACAGGTCCCTTTGGCCACCACTTTAGCTCTGCCCAAACCACTTCTTTCTCCCCATTCTCTTCCCTTGCCATCTTCCCCTACCTGCCATCTGGGCTTATGTCTAAGAGTCGCAGCCTACTGGGGTGGGGGTAGGGGGGGTTAAGGTCTAGAATCCCAGCCCAGAAGGGTGGAGAATATGTTCTGTGCTCTGAAGGGGTAACAGGTTGGAGCCTGGGGAAGGTACCCAAGGGTTTTGTATTCTTCAGGCCTGGTTCTGGCTCTTGGCCTTCAACCTCAGCCCTCTCAGCCATCCTCCCTTGCTCCCTAACCCCAGCCCAGCCCTGGGACTCGTGTGACTGTAGGATGTGACCTAAGGCTTTCTGCTCGTCCTTAATTCTGGCCTCTCTCTATCTTTGCTGTTTTCAGTTCAAGATGGCTTTCCCAGGCGCTTTTCTAAACCCGAATACCAACAATTCTTTTTAGGGATGCACAAAAAGTCGCTGGAGGCAGCAGCCGAGTCGGGGAGGAAACCCGAGGTGGAACGCCAGGCCCTGCCCAAGCTTGACAAGATGGAGCAGGAGGAGCGGGCCCCCGACGCCCAGGTGGCCATCTCCCAGGAGGAACTGAGGGAAAACAGCATCGCGGCACTCCGAGCCAAAGCTCAGGAGCACAGCACCAAGGTGCTGGGGACTGTGCCCGGGCCAGACAGCCTGGTCCGGAACACCGAGAAGCCAGAGGAAGAGGAAGCCATGGATGAAGATAGGCCAGCTGAGAAGCTCAATCCGCCGCAGCTGGAGGACATGGCTTAGGCCAAAGGGGCACAGGCTCTGGAGCCCCAAGACTCTATCCCTCCTGGGACCTGTGGTGCCCAGTTCGCTCCAGGCAGGACCAGGCCTGGCTTCTGCCATACTACCCTGTCCTACAGGCCTTCCATGACCCCTGCCCATTCTAGGTACAGGTCAGTTCTGGCTGGAGCTTTGGGCCATACTGAGATGTCCTGGAGCTAGTCCTGACGCTCCAGCACCCCCTTCCTCCTCCCAGCATCACACCTCGGAAGCCTTCTTGCTTCCCAACCAGCTCCTCAAGTCCTTGCCACCCAACCCCTTAGCCACTCTCGCGGCTCAAGTCCACCCCTGATGCTGTGCTCTGGCTCTAGAGAACCCTCCTTCCCAATCCACTTGGGGTCATGTCCAAAGCCTGTAGCAAACATACGGCCTGCTACAGCCCTTGACACCAACTGAGGACCTGCGCTCAGGTTCCAATGTCCCGAGCACCTCAGTTCTCAGCCAGTCTTCCCTCGCCCTTGGCCTACCCTTCCCGCCGACCTGGGTCTGGGTACCTGCTTCAAGAATATAGTGCTTTACAGACCCACACACAACTTGTGCAACCTCTGCCCTGCCCTGTTGGCATCCAGATTAAATTTGCCAAGTCTCAGGCTGGCCCCCCTGGACTCCCGTCTCATGCCAAGCCCTTAGGAACCAGCCCTCTCTATGTCCAGCTTGCCTGTGGCTCTTCCCCAGTCCAGATGTCAACAACACATGTGGGCCAGTCCCCATGCCCTGCATGAAGGGGCACATCTTACTACTGCTCTGGCTCAATGCACTGCTTGGTGGGGGAAGGGAGGGCCTCTATCTGGAGTCCTTGGGACCCTAGGCCTCCCTGACCCTGTGCTGCCGGTGATCTTGACTTGCTGTGCAAAGTCCCCTTCCATCAGAGTTTCTTGTACACGACTGGTTTGCATGTACCTGCCAGTGCAGCCAGGAAGTCATACATCTAGCTTCAACTTGACCCAGGCTTCCCTGAGAAGCCAGCTCTGCAGTGGGCCTGGGCTATAATCTTCATCCAAGGTGAAGCACAAGGAGGGTATAGGAAAAGGCTCAAAAGAAAGCAAGTCTCTCTACACCATGGTGGCTCAGCTACTCAGGAGGATGCGAACTGAGAATTGTGGTTCTAAGCCAGTCTGGGCAGAAAAGCTCATGAGACTTATTTCCAATTAACCACCAAAAAGCCAGAAGTATGCTTCCAGTGGTAGAGTGCCAGACTTGAGCAAAAAAGCTAAGGGACAGTGCCCAGGCCCTGAGTTCAAGCCCCAGGATGGGAATGATAAATAACTAACAAGGCAGGAGGTCAGCACTAAATCCACACAGTAAGCTGTAGGCACTTCTTCATGGCAGGTGAATACTGGGAGCATGCCACTACCATAAGACATCCTCAGGAGCTAAGAAAGTAGGACTCGTCTACTTTACAGTGGGCCTGCCCGTGCCAACAGCTTCTCTGCAGCTGCCCTTCCACTTGCCTCTACCTTTTGTGTAATGGGCACAGGTAGCGTTATGGAACCTGCTGGATCTGTAATCCCAGGCCTCATGCCCATTCTGCCATTCCATCTATGTTTGTAGGGAATACCACACAAGAGAAAGGCCAGAAACAATGAGTTGCAGTTTTCATTCCGTATTGAAAGTTGATTTCTTCTTCATTCCATCATGGAGTCCCTTCCCCCAAGGTCTTGTCTTTTTCCTCTGTTGGTTTGAGATGTTAGACTGTAGCCTTTGTGTGTAAATAATGTACATAGAGTGAGAAGAAACTTGATATTAAGGTGTTTGAAATATGGAACTTCTAGGTATTCTAAATCTGTGATCTCGGTGCCATTTTCTGTAAAGATACAAGTGAAAATAAAATTGATGTAAAAGCAGCTGGGAGGATGTTTGATTAGGTAGCATACTGAGTAAAGCCACAGGCTGGGTGTACATGCCTGTAATCCCAACCCTTGGGAGGCTGAGGAAGGAAGATTACTTGGCAATCTGGATTATATAATGAGGGCAATCTGGATTATATAATGAGACCCAAACTCAAATAACAACAACAAAAAAGGCCAGATGCCAGTGGTTCATGCCTATAATCCTAGCTACTCAGGAGGCTGAGATCTGAGGATCATGGTTCGAAGCCAATCCAGGCAAGAAAAATTCATGAAACTCTTAACTCCAATAAATCACAGAAAAAGCCAAAAGTGGCGCAGTGGCTTATATGGTACAATGCTAGCCTTGAGCAAAAAGAAGTCCAGGGACAGCACCCATGCCCAGAGTTCAAGCCCCATGACCGGCAAAACAAAAACAAAAACAAAATCACTCAAAAGCCAATGCTCATGCCTGTAATCCTAGCTATTGAGATCTGAGAATCACAATTCAAAGTCAGCTCAGGCAGAAAAGACTTTTGAGATTCCTAATCTCCAATAAACTACCAAAAAAGCCCAAAGTGTAACTGTGGCTCAAATGGTAGACCCTTTAGGCAAAAGAAGCTCAGGGTCCAGGTCCTGTGTTCAAACGCTAGGGCCAGCAAAAAAAAAAAAAAAAAAAATCAAGCTGAGTGCCGGTGGCTCACCCTTGTAATACTAGCTACTTAGGAGGCTGAGATCTAAGGATCACAGTTGCAAGCCAGCCCGGGGAAGGAATGTCACATCTGTGAAACTCATCTCCAATTAACCACCAGAAAACTGGAAGTGGCGCTGTGGTTCAAGTGATAGAGCACTCACCTTGAGCTGAAGAGCTCAGGGACAGCACCCAAGCCCAGAGTTCAAGATCCTCCACTGACAAAAAAACAACAACAAAACAATAAAAACCCCACCCCCAATAACAACAAAACCAACCCTCAATAAAGTAAGTCCACAGGGGCTGGGAAGGTGGCTCAGTGGTAGAGTGCTTGCCTTGTATGCATGAGGCCCTGGGTTCGATTCCTCAATACCACATAAGCAGAAAAAGCCAGAAGTGGTAATGTGGCTCCAGTGGTAGAGTGCTAGCCTTGAGCTGAAGAGCTGAGGACAGCGCCCAGACCCAGAGTTCAGGTCCCATGACTGACAAAAAAAAATAAATATAAAAGAAAAAATAAAGTAAGTCCACAAAGAGGTCAAAACTAGGTTCCTCTTTCAAAAGTATTCCAAATGTTGAAGAACCAACAGCCTACCTCACTTGGCCGAACTGATGCCATCTTTTCATGGCATCTGTCACTTCCAAGGAGGGTCCAACAAAACCCTCCCAGACACAAAGCCCATGCATCTCCCAGTAGATTACATTAACCTTTCTCTCTGATACTTCCTTACCATCAACCCTGCTTCCTCCACACCTCTCACAAAGCCAACAGCTCACCTTGGCACACCTTACCTTCCATCAAATTAACAACACCCAGGCAAGGTGACCCTGTCTGGAACTGACAGTCAGATTATGCTAAATCCCTGTCAGAGAGGGAAAGAGAGCTTGAGGAAGGCTGTGTGAAATTGTCTTCAGACAGCTGTGAGCATGGCTTGATGATGTGTTGGCTGGAATTGCAAAATGAGAGTCAGTGAGAAGGCTGGATAGGTTGAATGTGAGCTTCTAGGTCAAAAAGAAAGAAAGAAAGAAAGAAAGAGAAAGGAAAAGAAAAAAGAAATCTAAGATGGTTTCAAATAGGCTCAGCTGTGGCCTCCCTGGCAAAGAGGTTTCTAGCCGCCAATCAAGGAGATTGACAGGAGGTCTGCAGTGTCCTGTACGCACCTGGGAGCCCAAGGGTCACATATGGAGACTCTAGTCCCTGGTGGTAACAGGACAAGATTCAACCCGTCTGCAAGGGTTGCTGGAGGGCCTCCCTGAGTGTGCCAGGCCCCTTCAGGGCTCAGGTAAGCCCCGGAGTCTAGAGATACCTTTCCTTCTCCCCTTGCTCACCCAGCCCCTTCAAGAAACAAAAATGCCCTTCCTATAGGAAGGAGTGTGTGTGTGTGTGTGTGTGTGTGTGTGTGTGTGTGTGTGTGTGTGTGTGTGTGTGTGTGTGTGTGTGTGTGTGTGTGTGTGTATTCCTGTACTGAGGTTTGAACTCAGAGCTTATTAGTTGGGCTTACTTGCTGGGCTGGTACTCTACCACTTGAGCCAGGCCCCTAACTCTACAAGAAGTGTTTTGGGGGCTGGGAATGTGGCTTAGTGGTAGAGTGCTTGCCTAGCATGCATGAAGCCCTCAGTTCGATTCCTCTGTACCACATAAACCGAAAAATCCAGAAGTGGTGCTGTGGCTTAAGTGGTAGAGTGCTAGCCTTGAGGAAAAAAAGCAGCTCAGGGACAGTGCCCAGGCTCTGAGTTCAAGCCCCAGGACTGTCACAAAAAAAAAAAGTGTTTCATTTTCATTTTTCCCACAATTTCTTTGAAGGTGGGTTTACATCATACAACCCTTCAGGATGCATCAAAGGGCCTGCTATTCAGCCCGTGTTGAATGTTCTGTCTATAATTTACCTAACTACTCAACAATTTTAACATTTACCAAACATTTAACATATAATTTTTTTTTCAGTACTGGGGTTTGAACTCAGAGCCTCTACAACTGGAGCTATGCTTCCAGCCCATGTATGAAATCTGGTATATAAATACTGGTACGGAATTCATATCTCTGAGGTCAGGCAGTGGGGAGATTGTAGTAGGCAGAGCAACTTCAGTTCTTTTTGTCCTGGAACTTAGAAACTGGGGGAAGAGACAGAATTCTGCACAAATATTTGACACAAATAAAATAGAAAATTTCAAGGGCATAATAAGGGACAAAGAGAACATCTAATATGGCAATTGCTAATAGGGTAATCTATTACATCCCTGGGACTTAGTTCCAAATACTGAACTTTGGAGCCTTTTTCTCCAGCCTCCTGAATTTTGTTTGGCTGTTTGTGCCAGTAATGAGACTTGAACTCAGGACCTACTCTCACTCATCTTTTTCTGCTCATAGCTGGTGTTCTATCATTTGAGCCATACTTCCACTTCTAGTCTTTTTTTCTTGCTTTTTTTTTTTTTTTTCTTTCTGAGCCCTTCCTAGGGCTTGAATTGTTCCTGTCTCTGATCTTTTTGTGCTCAAGGCTAACAAGGCTAGCCAGTTCCAGCTTTTTGGTGGTTAACTGGCAATAAGAGTCTCATGGACTTTCCTGTCTGGTCTGGCTTTGAACCATGATCCTCAGATCTCAGCCTCCTGAGTATCTAGGATTACAGGGGTGAGCCACTGGCACCTAGCTCTGCCATTCTCAATGCCAGAAGAAAGGACACAGAGAAAGGCAGCATTAGGCACAAAGGAAGATAGTATGCCAAAGCAGGCTCTTTAGGTCCAAGGGTGCAGCTAGCCCAGGCCCAGGTGGATCTAGGGAACAACTAGGGACACTTAGAAACTTGAGAGATGCTAG